AAAGGTGTTGTTAGTGACCTGGTTCAGGCATCTTCTAAAGGCTTTTTTTTTTTTTTTTTTAACTTGGCAACAAATGTAGTGCATACTGTCAACAAAACCCCAGCCATCCTGTGAGAGTCCCAGCTAGGTCCCAGAGAGATTTGAGGCTGCAACCAGAGTCTGGTTTATTATAGTTGTTGTTTTTAAGTGCTATTAAGTCAATTATGACCCATAGTGACCCTGTATAGGGTTTCCAAGGAGCAGGTGGTGAGCTTGAACCACTGACCTTGTAGTTCAAATGACTTTGCAGTCTGATGCATTAGCCCACAGTGCCACACCAGGAATCCATAGTTGTTAAGTGCCATTATTCCAACTCATAGAGACCCTGTATAGGGTTTTCAAGGACTTTTTAACTGTCGACCTTATGGTTAGCAGTCCAGTTCTGCCCCTGTAGTGCCACACCAAGGGGTCTGGTTTGGTCTGAATGAATGTAAGCATGGATGTCAAAAGGCACACATTTGAAAACACTTCATTTTATTGTCCTCTTGCCGATATGAGCCCTTGAATATACTGTTTTTCTTCTAAAACCCCCCTTTCCTACACCTGCCATCCAACTGTGGATGGGATACAAGAGCTGAGACACCAGTCCTGCGTGGGGCCCCTGAGCTTCCCGAACCGAACCGAAGGTGCAATAGTTCTCCCTGGTTTTTGTCATCTCCTTGATGTGCAGGGCAGTTTTCTTTGGGGAGTTTCATCTGCATTTCAAAAGCCCTGACATTTAAAACCCAGTTGCTCTTAGCTGTTTCTTTCCATTCCTTTCTCTTTTCCCTTCTCCTTTTTCCTCTCTTTCTCTCTCTCTGGATGGGAGCCCTGCACACTGTGGTTCCTCTTTGTCACCTGCAGAGAAGAGGAATGGAGGCATGGAGGAGGGAAACATGCTGGTATGTATCTTACTCTGTCTGCTTCTAGTTTCCTAAGAACAGTAGTTTGTGTTTAGTCCCAGAACTTCAGAAATCATGCTATCCTGACCCCTGATTTGTTGAGATGGTTAACAAAAGACAACAGTCAGAGAGGTACTATGACTTTTCTAAAGTCTTGAAGTCCTGGTGTGGCGCTGTGGGTTAATGACTGGACTTGGAAGGTCAGCGGTTCAAGCTTACCGGCTATTCCTTGGAAACTCTATGCAGGGTCACTATGGGTCGGAACCGAGTCCACGGCACTTAACAACAACTTAGCTAAGTAGTGGCAGAGGTAGGCCTAATGGTAACAGTAGTAATAACAGCAGCTAACGTGACCTGGTGTGGCGCTGTAGGATAAGCACTGAACCGCAAGGTCAGTTTGAGACACAAGGTTGCTAGTCACCAATTCAAATTCACTAGTCTCTCCTTGGAAAACCTATACAGGGTCACTATGAATCAGAACCAACTTGACAGTACTTAACAACAGCTCTGTAGGATAAGCACTGGACTGCAAACCACAAGGTCAGTGGCTCAAGCCCGCTCTATGGGAGAAAGATGAGGCCTTGTACCCTCTCAAAGATTTGCAGCCTTGGAAACCCTGTACAGGGTCTCTATGAGTCGGAACCAACAAGATCGCACTAACTACAACAACAATATGATTAATCCCTTATTTTACGCCGTGTTGTTAAGTGCCGTCAAGTCAGTTCCAACTCATAATGACCCTGTATGGGTTTTCTGAGGAGCTGCTGGTGGGTTTGAACTGCCAACCTTAAGTTAAGCAGTCCAGTGCTTATCCTACTGTGCCACACCAGGACTCCACTGTGCACCATGCATTGTTCTAAATACCTAACTGCATTAACTTTTGCTTGTCTTGATAACCAAGTCATGTTAAGAAATAAGTATAATATGAAATGTGATGGGGAAAATTGTGGAACAGTGAAATAAGAATGAAAAGATAGAACTGGGATTCAAATTGAGGTGGTGGGACACCAGAGCCCATACCCCTAGCTATAACATTCTCTAGTCCCTAATCTGAGACTCATACAGTCTGCCCCCCTGTGTTGCTGTTTTTCTTAGACATTGGAAGGCTTTCCCAATTTGGAACAAAACCAGTATCAGCTGTATCTCTAGAAGGCTGTTCCCAACTGGGATTTAAACATTCCAGTACGTCATCTATTCTGTGAGGTTTTCCATGATCTGTGGGCAAGAATACTTTTTCAAGTATTCAAGGAGGTCTAGAATTTTGTTTTGAGTCAGTGAGATCATTGGGTTGATATCCATTTGAGCCCCTACAGAGAGAATACCCACACGCCTGGGGACCATTGAACGGGGAGACAGGGGTCCTTCTTTACTTTGTCTTACTTTGTGTCCTGGTTGGTTCTCAAATTCAACCACTGTGGCTGGACTTGGCTCTGGCTTCCCATACTCAGCTTCTCCAGTAAACTGGGGCCTAACCAAAACAAGCTTTCCTCAGCAGACATTTCCTATGTTGTATGTTTAATCTGTATCTGAGAGCTACTAGCCAAAGGTTCCATGTCTAAGCATTCAAGGGGTTTGCAAAGTTAGGCTGAGTTGGGTTTTAGCCTGGGCCCTTTGCCCTGGAAGGAAGATCTAGGAAAACACTGAAATAACTCTTCCTAGTTGGATCCAGCAGGGTTGAGATGAGGGATCTAGGGGGCCTTTGGGTTGGCCTTTTAGACCCCAACATCTACATTTCAAAAAACCAGCCACATGGTTAAGATTCTTATTTGATTTTGAGGAAGGAGTTCTACATGGAAATTTTACAATGTCTTTAAAATGTTTGAATTTACTTCTGGAATTAGGGATTTGATGTGACCACTCGGGAAAAAGTGATTAAGATGCTTAGCATCTCTTCGAATCTTAAGTTCATTAAGTAATATAGATGTTTCTCTATATTTGCCTTTCTAAATAGGCTCCCTATATGTCATTTTCTTGGGGGGTTTGTCACTTTGCTTTAAATTCACTCTAGCTCTCACCTCCAACAAAATTAAGAGCTCTCCCCAAAATGTAACTTAATTTGCCATTTTCCTAATGAAACACATTTTATATGCATGCTTTCCAGACCTAAAAGCTGTTGGAAAATGTCTTGGGTGTCACTGCTGATGGCTGCTTTGACACTTTGACAGCATCAATGCCCCAAGTGGAGAAATTCTGCCACTTTTTTTCTTGCCACTTCTTACTGCTTTCTTGCCATTTCTTAATAGCTGTAAGGGCCTCGGTCGCCAGGGAAATGATTGATGGTATATAAACAGTCAACATCCAATCACCAGATAAAAACCAAAACCCCTAAAGTGCCATTTAGACACCCAGCTCTCAGAGAGAGTGGTCCCAGTGTATGTTCCTTGGATTCCAGTGCTATGTTTCCATGCAAGGTCGACTCTTGAGAGCTCCTCTTTTCTGAAAGAACAGGATGATGGGATGACAGAACAGGTGGAAGAATACAGAAATAGCAAGGTCAAGGTCAGAATCACTCCTCTTTGCTAAATGTTTAGCTAGTGACAGCCATGTCTCCCAGGTGAGGAGAGATGTCTTCTGGGAATAATTTTTTTTTTTTTTCTTTCAAATAGTGGATCCAATATTGCTGTCTCCTTGGGAAGCTGGTTAAAGGGCACAGAGGACCAGGTGGCCACTGGCACCGACATACATTGACCATTGTGTTCTGGCCCTACAGGCCCCCAGTCAGAGGCTCCGTCCTGCAATGCCAACTCCCTCTCCTGCCCTTCAGCCTGCACTTGCAGTAACAACATTGTGGACTGTCGAGGAAAGGGCTTGACGGACATCCCTGCCAACCTGCCAGAGGGCATCGTCGAAATGTAAGTGCCCATCTGCCACCCCTCTGTCCCTGAAGAGCTTACCTCTCTGTCTCAACTGGTCCCCCACCAGGTTGGCAGGTTGTTGCGCTCTTAGAGCTGATGGTTAAAATCAGTCAGGAATCTTTTTGCCCTCTGTCAAGGGAGCCTGGCGTTGGGGTATAATATAATAGCACAGTGGTACTGAGCGTAGACTCTGGAGTAGAGTCGACAAATGACAGTCCCTGGACCACCACCTATTTTGTCAACAAAACTGTATTGGAACACAGCTACACCCACTGACTTAATGTATTATTGTCTGTGGCTTCTTTCATATTACAAAGGCAGGACTGAGTTGCCGAAACAGGGACCTATGCCTCACACAGTCTAAAATATGTGATACCTGGCTCTTTACAGAAAATATTCACCAATTCTTGCCCTAGAACTATACTGCCTTTTTATCCTGGCTCTACCATTTACTATATGACTTTAGAGTATATAGTTACCCACTTTCACCCTTTGTTTTCTCATCTATAATAATCTGATAAATATAGTATTACTTTTCAATGGGTCATTTTGAAAACTAAATGAAGTACTACATGTGAAATGCTTGTATACAATCCCTGGCACATGGAATGTGTTCTTTAAAGTGTTGAAGGAGGAAGAGGAGGGAAGGGTCAGAAGGCTGAACTACCACTAACTGAGAAAGGATCTGAGCCTTCTAATCATTTCAAATCAGATTTTGTCCTCTAGGTAAAGAGAGAGGATTGTGTGTTTCTATGTGTGTATACACATATCCAAAACCATAGAACTGGCTTCGCTGCATAGTTCAGTCCCATATACGTTAGAAAATGACCAGTGTTCTGATTCTAGATGGAGTACAGAGTCAGTCAACATGGAACTCAAGATGCTAACTAGAGGGTACATGTGACTCTTTAAGAACAACTATTGTTTTAATTTTTCTAGCTTCACCTTTGGATGGATTTATTAAAAATAGCATTAGATGGGACCTTCAACTGAAAACATCACTTGATAAGGCCCATCCAAGTAAAAGGCTCATGGTGACCTCACCTCTCTGGTTCATGTCCTCTTGTGCATGCCTCTTCTATCCCCAACTCATTCCAATCAGATGGCCCTTGTTTTTTTAGAAACTTTTTATTGTGAATTGAGTAAAGATTTACAGAGAAGATCATGTTTTACATTCAACAAATCACACACTTTGTTTCATCTCAATGATTCCAGTCCCCTCCATGTAATCATATTTATTCTACTTCTTCCCAGGGGTTCTTATTTTGATTCCACCCTCCTTCCCAACCCTACTGAACTTTGTCCTTAGGTAAATATTGCCTTTTTGATCCTGAATAGCTGACCATTCCTTGGTGAGCATAGCTTACTAGTGTTATTGTCCTCCCTATATACCTACCTACCTGGCACTTGGCTGAAAACCGGGCCACGAGGTTGAGTTCCATTTGAGTCCTGAAGGGTGGCCATAGTCTCAGGTGCCTCCAGTCCCTTTCTTACCAGTAAGATCAGTCTTTGTAAAACAATTTTGAGTTTTGTTCCACGTTGTCTCCCAGTCTATCCGGCACCTCCTAGTGTGATCCATTTCAGAGCAGTTGGTGGTAGTAGCTAGGCATCATCTAATTCTTCTCGTCTCAGAGTCATGGAGATTGATGTTCACATGTTCCATTAGTCTATTGGACTAATTGATTCCAAGCAACTTCAGTTTTCATCATTCTTCTTTCCTCAGCACATGGAGAGACCAATAGTTGCCCCTTAGATGGCCGCTCATGAACTTTTGAGATCCCAGTGGCTACTCATCAAAGTAGGATGTAGCACATTGTCCTTAGGGACTATATTATGTCAGATGGTCCATTGACTTTTCCATTCATTCAACAAGTGTATGGTGACAGTCTAATATGTTGTAATCATTGCCCTGAGCTATGGAGAGACACAAATAAACAAATTAGACAAAATCTCTGCCCTTGGCTGGGGGCTTTGGACCCAGAGAGAGAGGCCGGGTTGCTGTGTGCTAACCATCGGGGGAGGGGGGCCAGGCTTGCAGGGTATACCCTTTGGTTGGTTGATGATGCATGGAGGGGATTGTAACCATGGCAATGAAAGATATACGATAGGATGAATGTAAAGCTAATGTTCTCCATGTAAACTATCACATAACTCACAATAAAACATTTAAAAAAAAAATCTCTGCCCTTACAATGCTTATATTCTACTGGATGGAGATAAACAAAATATGTAAGTAAATTGTTGTTGTTAAGTGCCAATGAGTTGATTCCACCTCATAGCAACCCTGGCGAGCTTGAACCGCTGACATTGAGGTTTAAACCAACCTTGCAGTACAGTGCTTTATCCTACACCACTAAACACATACACAAAGGAAGTAAATTAGATATGTTAGAAGGTGTTAGGAGTCAAATGAAGCAAGGAAAGGACTTGAAGTGGGTGAGATAAAAACAGCAAGAGGATCTGGAGGGGGAGAGTGTTAGAGGTAGAGGGAAACACAGTACAAAGGCCTGCCGTGGAAGTATGTTTGGTGTGCCAGAAGACCCTTGTTGCTGAAGTGCAGTAAATAAAAGGGCGCAAAGGGGAGAGTGCTAGTAGATAAACTCAGAAAGGTAATGAGAGGCTAGACCATAGGGCTGTTCTAAGGACTTTAGTGTACTCTGCGGGAGATATAAGGATATAAGATATAATAATGGAGCTTCTCTTTCCTCTCCTTTCTCTATCTGCTCTGCCAGCTTTTCTTTGGTTTCCTCTAAGCTTTCTTTTCTGGAGCACAATCCATACCTCCCCATACTCCCTACTACTGCCGCTGGTCAGTGAGAAGACCTTTTTACCTTATGCCCATACCTTCTATGGCTTTGGTTCATCTTCACTCCATCCTCAGTCTAACTTTCAGTCCGGTACCAACAATGAGTCAACTTCATGTCTTATTGTAACTCTCTACCACACCTCTTGATCCATTGCTGTAGCTTTGAGATCCCCTCTTTCCAGGGAATTTGCTTAGAACTCACTTACCTCTCTTGCTCATATTTCTCCTTAGTCCTATCCTTGCTGTTTCTTCTTTTCTTCACCGTTCTTCCTTCATTATTTTTTCCCTCCCTTGATCCATTTTCCTCCTTCTCCTCAAGCCTGGCTTTTCCTCTTCGCTTCTCATCCCCATTTCTTTTTCTATCCCAGATAGCCTTGTTCTATCTGGCTACCCAGATAGCTCCATCCTTCCCTGTCCTTCCATACCAGGGTAGATCAGTGTTCGAGACACAGGGTTTCTGCCACACACTCATCTCCTTTTATAGTCCCATCGATTGTTCCTTTCTACTGCCCTGCCTCATTTCTTTCTCCATCTTCCAGATTTTATCTCTATTCATTGACAATCAGAGACTTACCCTGGCCTGTTTTAAAACCCACACTCTGAAGAAAGCGTTCTGTAGTCCAGCTATACTTAATGGCCCCCACCCACATCCTTTAATCTAGAGCTCTGGGTCTATTCCTTCATCTATTTGAACCTCACAGGCTGACAGCTCAAGTCTCTGCAAGAGAAAAATCACAGAGACCTATATCACAGCACAGCCTATGTTGGGCAGGCTAGGCCTGCACTCAGGACTCATGTTTTGATATTGAATTTTAAATGGTGCATTGACAAGCTGGGGTAATGATTACTAAAAGATTACTCAATTATTTCCTGACTTTTTGCTGATGGAGATAAAGTAAGAAAAATAAGAGCATAGGAATGAATTTTTCTATTGGACAAAACCATTCAGTTAAAGTGGTATCCTTTATTGTGAGTTCATGGACATTCTTATTCTATTATCATTGTCATTAAAAATGCTCTGTATATTACAAAATGATGACCATTGGAAGGCAGATCTTATATATATATATGGAACTCTGGAAGCATAGTGGTTACAAATCAGGCTGCTAACCTCAAGGTAAGTAGTTCAAAACTATCAGCTGTTCTGCGGGAGAAGGATAAGGTTTTCTGCTCCCAAAAGAATTTACAGCCTCGAAAGCCCTATACAGGGTCACTATAAGTCTGAACCGACTTGGTGGCACACAACCACATTCACCACCTGCTTACAGCCTACAGATGGCCTCCTGGGCCTTCTTCCTCACTTGCTGCATTTGCTGCCTTCTTTCTGTTGTGACATAAAGCTGAGAAATTAGAGATGAGGCACGTCTCTATGGTCATGACATGAAAGAGAGATTCTGGGGAGGAAACCTACTTGCCGCCTTCAGAAGCCAAGCCCACACCTGGGACATGTGCATTCGTCTGCAGCAGTGTGCCATCAAGTCAATTCTGATTCATGGTGCCCCCGTAGGACACAGAACTGTATCATAGGGTTTTCTAGGTGGATAGCCAGGTGTTTACTCATCTGGAACCTTTGCATGGGCCTGAATCACTGACTTTCCAGTTAGCAACCAAGCACTTTACCTTTGTGCCATCTAAAGTGTTTAAAATAGCTAAAGTGCAACCTCTGAGCAATATGGGGGATGTTGAAAAACAAGAAAAAAATACAACAGAGTTGAAACTGCAGGACAAGCCCCAGGATGAATAGAAAGTGCCTGGTTTGCCATCCCAAAGACATCTGAATTTTACTTTCTCTTTTAATATCAAGAATGCCACCTCTTATCTATGGTCTGGCATCCTGGTGTGGCTCTGTAGGATAATGCACTGGACTACAAGGTCAGTTTGAATTGAAAGGTTGGCAGATCAAACCCACCAGCTGCTCCTTTGAAATCTTATACAGGGTCACTGTGAGTCAGAGCCGACTTGATGGCATTTAACTGCAACAATACGTATGACACATAGTCCAAATTCGTACTTTTCTCTTAGGGCTACTTGACCCCTTACCAGCCTTCAACCTCCACTCCCCCTCAAGCCTTCATTGGCTCTATAGTATAAACCACTGGACTACAAGGTCAGTTTGAACAACAAGGTCAGTGGTTCAAACTCTCCAGCCACTCCTTGGAAACCCTATACAGGGTTACTATGAGTCTGAACT